AGGGTCCGAATAAATAATACAGTCCCAAATGAATAAATAATACAGTCCCGAATAAATACAAAATCCTAATTAATTAACACATTAATCTAGGAAAGCAATAAATTGGCACCAAATCCATGGACTGCCTCAGCTCTGTTCCAAATGATGAATGATGCATGCTCGGGTTGCCTTGTGCGGAGAATCCCTTGCAATGTCTCGGTTTGTCTCTGTTTGCAATTATTCTTGGAATGCGTGCCAAGCTCCGGAAGGTTGCTGATTTCTGATTTGCTGCAACAGAGAGCAACAAAGGGGCATAGCAAAGTATTTTCACATATGTATGCATGACTACATACAGAATCTGGGGAAAAGCAGCTAGCACAGCTGGAATACACTTGGAGAGAGGATCATGGCCGGCCAGGTTCAAAAGGCTCAGGTGGCCGGCTGGCCACCCCCCCTGGTCGGCCGGCCAGGGGTCAAAAGGGTCAATCAAAATTTCTGGCCAGCCACCCGAATTAAGACACGTTCTGTCACTCGTAGTACGAAACGTCCCTCGTTTCCCGTGCTTGGGCTAACTCCTATCCCAAACACTATGCAATATGCATGATATGCATGAATGCAATCCTAATATGCAACCTAGCATACACAATGCTATGGAATGGCATACACGATGCACGATGTAACGAGGCATACACAATGCTCTAACATACAACCTAGCATACGCAATGCTATGAAATGAAATGGCATACACAATGCCTGATGGGCTTACACTAACATGAGTGGACCTCAGCCACACTCACATCAATAGCCAGTAGATGAAAATGAGACTCTCGAAATGCGTGCACGCATGCATGCAAACCGAGGACCGAATCTAAGGCATAGTATGCAACTCTAACAAGGCATGGCAAGGCATGAAATATGGCATACAAGCATGTAATTCCAGCACTGAAATATGATGCTAAACAGCCTCGAAACATGGAAAGATGGCACCCGATGCAGGAGATGAAACCCGAAACTCGAAACTAGGCACATGGAATGACTTATAGCTATACAAAGCATGCATTATTTGATCATGAAGCATGAAGACAGAGCCAAGGAAGTCCCAAAACATGTACATTTCCAGTTCAAAGCATGGCCAAAAAGTGCTAGCAAGATGGACTAAAGTAGCATGCAACTTTGACTAGCAAACATGGTTTACATGGAAAGTGTGTGAAGCATATGGAATCTCACCAAACCAGCAAAAATCAGTGAACAAAACATGGGAAAATAGGCCCAAATAATCACTGATATGCAACCATGGTATGCAAAAATAATGAGTTACTTTGGAGGGCCATGCAAGGAGTTATTAAGCACATGCAAGGTAGACATTTAGCATGGCATAAACAACTATGAAAATCAAATATGGTAGTCCTAAAACTCATCAAATTGGCCCTGGAAAGTGACTTCGAAGCATGCAAGATAGGGTCTCTTTGGAAGGCCAAAATGACCACCAAACAAGCCAAGGAGAGAGGGGGTCACCCCCCTCTGGTTTGGAGGCTCAAAACAGTGTGTTAGCCACTGAAAATCCACTGGATTTCAGTGGCTAGAAGTCCAAACAAAGCATGCAACAAGAGCTTAGGTGTAAGGTTCAAAACAAGGGACAATCAAGCATAAAAGGAAGCATGAGACCTCAAATAAGAAAATTCCCTCAATAAAACATGAATATGATGTCAAAACAAGCCTTTTTCCAGTTTATCACAAATATCAAAAAAGAACATAAATAGGCCTAATCTATCATGCAAAAATGGCCCTAAAAGAGAGAATAGAGACAAGGGACAGCAGATGGCCCCAAACAGTGAAGAGCCCTTCAACAAAGTTGAAGAGGGGCTCAAAATGAAGCACTTTACAGTTTACATCAATCCACGAAAATGATCACAAATAGGGCTAAACTATCATGCAAGAAAAAGGCCCAAAAGAGGGATAAAGAGACAAGTGGTAGCATCTGATCTCAAATGGCAAAGAGCCCTTCAACAAAGTTGAATAGAAGCTCAAAAAAAGACATTTTACAGTTTATGACCAAGTCCAAAACAGCTCACAAATAAGCCTAAAATATCATGCAAAGAATAGGCCTAAAAGAGAGATAAAGAGGCAAGTGGCAGTAGGAGACCTCAAACAGCAAGAGGTCCTTGATCAAACATGAAAAGGAGCTCAAAATATGGCTATTTCCAGTTTGGGTCAGAGCCCAAAAATGCAAGAAATAAAGGCTAAGAAAGCATGCAAAATAGGGCAAGAAAAGAGGAAATAGGGACTCACCCTTGTAGCCTAAGTCTCCAGCAGCTTTTGGTCCAAATTTCTGAGCTTCCAACCTCTGCAAATGGCCTCCAAGTTGCTGGAATGGAGTGTGGAGGTGTGGTGCTATGAGTTGGTGTGTAAATGGTGCAAGACTCTTAGGGCTTTGAGGGTTGAATGAGAGAGATAGGGAGTGTATGTATCAATGGTGCCTTAGCTGATTTTCTAACCCTTCAAAATGGAGCTGGGGTGCTGGTTTTATAGAGGGAGAGAGGCCAAGGAAAGGGGGGGAAAAGCCAATTCAAATTTCCCCCCTAAAAGGCACCCCCCCGGATCAAAATCTGGGGGGAAACAGAGGGTACAGCTGGAAGGCATTTGGAGAGGGAATTCTGGCTGGCCAGGTTCAAAAGGTTCAGGTAGCCGGCCGGCCACCCCCCCTGGTCAGCTAGGGGTCAAAAGGGTCAATGAAAATTGCTGGCCGGCCACCCCAAAAAGGTGGCCTCCCATGTAAAATATGTGGTCAAAACCTAGAAAATGTGAACCAGGAGAGAGAAAAGCCAACTTTTTAGAGGGGTTCAAAAGGGTCAAGGACAATTACTAGCCAGCCTATACATATTGGTGGCCTCCCAGGTGTGTACAACACAAATATGGAGTTTATGGCTAAAGAAAGTGGCCCCGGGGTGGTCAACATTAGCTTTTTAGTGAGGAAAACAGGCGACGGAGAGCGATGAAGAAATAAAGCTGGCTTTTCAGAACAATTACTAGCCTCCCACCCTCCTATAAGCTTCCTAACAATGAAAATAAGGTCTCTACCAAAAATGAACCAAAACGGATGCAAGGCGAAGGTTCGGGGACCGAAACACGCGGCCCGGGGCCCCGAAAATGGGCTGTTAGGCACCGGAAATGGCGTTCGACCACGAAGTTGGCCTTTCAGACCACAGTGTCCCTCAAAAGGGAGGAAATAAGGTTTATGCCAAAAACCGGAGCAAACGGAGGTGGTTAGGCGGTCCCGAACCACAATTACTGGCCTCCCACCCTCCTATAAGCTTCCTAACAATGAAAATAAGGTCTCTACCAAAAATGAACCAAAACGGATGCAAGGCGAAGGTTCAGGGACCGAAACACGCGGCCCGGGGCCCCGAAAATGGGCTGTTAGGCACCGGAAATGGCGTTCGACCACGAAGTTGGCCTTTCAGACCACAGTGTCCCTCAAAAGGGAGGAAATAAGGTTTATGCCAAAAACCGGAGCAAACGGAGGTGGTTAGGCGGTCCCGAACCAAGGCACACGGCCGTCGGCTCCGAAAAATCGGAAACCGGGCTCCAAACGGGAAAAATGGCCTACGATCGCGAAACGTAGCCTACGGCCACTGAGAGATGATCTACTAGACCTCTCCCTCCCTTCGAGAAGAGAAAACAGAGAAAACAGAGCCTGGTTCGCAAACTGAGACAAGGCACGAAAGAGTCCGGAAGTTAGGAGGCAAGACTTGCAGCCGGGACTCTGAAACTTCTGAACGAGCACAATATGCAATATCACTGAACGCTCAATTAGTGACGTCTGAGTCTTAAGGTCGGTCAAAAATGGGGTGTCTACACAATCCGAGGTAAGTCCCATAATTTGAAGTCAAACTTTTCTAACCTTGTTGGCTCAAACAAGAACTTATCAGTCCTACTCCATCTCACCCCCTCTTGAGCATTGCTCCAAGTGTAGTTTCTTCCTTGCAAAGGAATATCAATCATCTCCAACTTCTCAATAAACTCATTAAAATCAGACATGCCCCTATCCTTCCTTAAGCAACCCTTTCTTTCCCCTATCACCCTAATCTCATTAAAATCTCCCCCCATCCACCAAGGATTTTTGAATGAGGATTTTAGCCTGACAGTTGATTCTCATACTTTTCTCCTATTAGCAACCTCATTTGGGGCATACATATTAATAATGACACAACCAAAAGAATTATTGGAAATACCTGAAAGAAGGATGAGATTTCTATTGCTACAGCAATCCTTCAGTGTGAAAATTTTAGGATTCCAAACCAAAAGTAATCCCCCTGCACTTCCATCAGCATCTACCGCTATATAATCCATCATTTTCCTAAGGCCAAATTGATCTAATAATCCCCTCATCCAAACATCTTTTTTTAGTCTCTTGAATCAGTAAGATGTCCACTTTCCTGTCGCTTACCAAGTTTTTGATTCTCTTTCTTTTTTCTGGTCTTCCTAGACCTCTAATATTCCATGACATAATAATCATTAAAACTTTTTTATGACACCGAATCACCTGTAAGCTATCCATTAAGCTTGGTAAGCCTCAACCCTATTGATAACCCTTTCAATATCATGTTCTTCAAGTTCCATAATCTTATGAATTATTTCCTCTTCATTTCTGCGACAGTCGATCCCCAAATCTTTGCCAACTTGTATTGTTATCTCAGCTTCTCTTCTCATCAGCCTTCTCCTACTCGATCTGTTGTTATGTGACAAAGATACCGAAGTTGCAGCTGTTGCTGCTCTGATGATGGCTTCTCTTTTGAAATCGCTTCCAGCTAGGATACGATAATGATTTATTCACCTTCTAATCTGACCCTGCCTCATAAAGCTCCTCTTTCTTCTATTATCTCTCTCTGCATACATGATTTTCCTTAAATTAGAAGAAGATGGTCTCCCACTTGAATTTTCATTGAACAAATGAGTTTGGGTTGAATAAATGAGGTCATTTTTCAATGGCCCACAAACTAACAAACCTTCCCGGGCCTTCTTTAATACCACTTCCAAATTTATGCTAGGTCTAATACCTTCAGACCCACTAAGACTTCTAATAAATCCAATCTTTTGAATGCTTCCACCTACTTCATTATTATCCTCATTATTTTTTTTCCCTGCAGAGCTGCTCCCCTTGTACGCTTGACTCATCCCCAAGCAAACTACCACCTTTTGCATTCCCTATATTGATGTCAGTTTCTTTTACTCCAAATTCCCATTCCACTCTTCTCTCGTCAACCGTCTCATTTTCCTTGGCACACGCAGATTTGTTAAGCTCAATATCATTGCTTAACACTTTTGCCATTGTTGAATGCTCATCATCTTCCAAAGCTGTCATCCTTGCTCTTTCTAGAATCACGTTGCCACTACCACTGGATTCAAGTGAAGCACAATTCTACTTTAAACTTTTACATTTGTAACAAAACGTCTTTGAACAAGATGCTAAATCAACGTTTTCACACACTCAAACTGGGTACGAAAACCCCTTACATCTCAACACAACCACTTTATTAATAAAATCCATGCACCTTGTGAGAATTCTTATCCTACCACAATAAAAGGACTCTTCACTTAACGTGACATCATCTATTTGAATTACCTCCCCCCAAGTTGCTCTAATGTCTCTGAACGTTTTCGTGTTCCACAAATTAAATGGAACACCGAAGCAACTAATCCAAATACATATTTCTTATTGGGCATGAAAACCTAGCCTCTACTCTGTCATGGTGTCACACTATTCAAAAATCCTTTCTTTCAAACTGGTTTTACCTTTCTGCATATCTTGCATAGTTTTGAAGGATAACACTGCTAGTCTTTCCCCTCCAACTCGAACTTGCACATCCTTCCCTTCTCTCTTCTAAAATTCCTTCTTGAACTCATCAAAATCGCCAAAAGACTTAAGTTTGAAGATCAAACTTTCATAAAGCCAACCATTTCCTGTTTCCTCTGCTTGTATAATCACTTCATTTCTTCTTTGATTATCCCCATTCTTTACCATATCAGCGAATGACGTCCCTTCTACCAACGGCTTCAAAGCCTGACTCTCATCTGTCTTTCTAACTCCATCGCTCTTCATAATTGGTTTCCTTTTTATCTCCATCCTCTGAACCTTGTTTTGATTCACTTTTTGAAAATCGGCTTTTTGACTATCAGTTCTTTGTTCTCCAACCAAATCCCATTTGCTTTTTGAATAGCCACACCCATAGAAACTTGACATCCATACCTAACAACCTAAATCTTGACCCTGTTAGTTTCTTCTCTTTATTGGATTGAAGACATCCTTGACTACCCCAAACTTTGTGAACAACATGAAAAAATCTTTTGAAGTCATGCTCTCTGGTAAATTATCCACGAAGAAGATCCCATCTTCCTTACCTCCGTATTCCAGCGCTCCCCTTCGAGTTCATATAACAGGACTCTAGCCTCCTTGCTCTCTCGCCCTTTCTCTCTCTCTAGCCATAACTCTTGATTGTTAGTTTACGAAATGCCACTTATATATTTTTTTCATTGACACTTTTAAAAGCTACAACTAAGCATGTGTAAATGCCTGTAAAAATTGAATCAATTTTATAAAAAATTGAATATTAATTGTCACATCCTATATTAATTTGACATCCATTCATCCTGTAATATTTTCATAATAATAAACAAATATTACCACCATAGGATCATCACATCAAAAACAAAAAAAGTTCAAACCATAATCATTTTTTAATCTAAAAATATAAATTTATTTATATTGCAACACAAATCATAATCAAAATTATAAACTATTCTACCACACTAACAAAGTTAAAGTAAAAAAAATTTAAAAGAAAATTATTCCAACCATAAGTTCTGAAAAGCCATAGTGATATCCATCTTCCGGAAAAACAAAATATGAAAACATTCAGTTCCTAAATTCTCAACCTCATTTGTATAAATATTCTCAGCTAGCATCTATAACTTGCGAAATCTGCATCCAAAAAATAAACATATAAAGGTAATTGAAACTATATTAAGTTAATATAAATTTGTTACTAAAATTAGTATTTATGAAAGAAATATACCACAAATGGAGCAGGCCAAGCAACACAAGCTCCAATAGCTTGTCTAATTGTTTTGGCAAGTCCATATGATCGGATCAAGCTCTCATTAGGTTTGATTGGCACTTGAATATGTGCCTCCCAATAGTCAAGTCCTAGTTCTTCCCCCTTCTACTTCTTTAGATGGGTCTGTACTTTTAAGTATTCTGATTGCAATTGTTTTTGTTGGCCTAATGATAATTTTTAGAACAACTATGTCTCTCACATTTAAATCAAGATTTAACTACTTAAGTAATTATATATTTATAATTAATAAATAATATTTAAAAAATAAACTAGTACAAAGTGCCGAGGTGAAGATAATCACAACTAAAAGTTATATGTATTTCTCTAGTAGATAAGCAAGCCATATGATTTAATTACTTAATTGGTTCACCACACTACAACAAATTATATAAAAGTAACAAATTATATGAAACAAAATATTTACAAAGCAATGGTTTTTATTTTAAACTATAATCATTAGGTTATATACTTTGTTAACGTGTCTATCATAATAAGATTATTGCAACGAAAGAATAGCAGAGGTTCATTGATTTATCTTGAAATCATTGATGTTAGACAAAATATTTACATTAGTAATTTCAGTGAGCGAATTTTTATGATATTGGTACACTTTTAACAGGGGTCTCAAAGGAAAATTTCTTTCTTCAAATATTGCAATATCAGAACAAATCAATGGCGATTACACCCCCTAATGCTGCCAATATGTAGGGGAAAGAATTTAAGAAGTTTCAATTTGAAGTTAACAATAATTCACAAAACAAAATTCCATATAACATGGAGCCCAAAACAAAAGTATGCTACTTTTAAAATAAAAATAAAAATAAAAATAAATTAAATTAAAAACTCCATAAAAAGTAGTAAAAAAGACATCTAGATTCCCAGCTAAGTTCTGTATATAGAACAAAGTAAAATCAGTACAAAAGAGCAATTTTTTTTTTTCCAATAATGCAAAACCCACATTCCAGGACAAAGACTTGTGCAAAGAGAGTAAAAACATACATAATACAAATTTCCCAAAACAGAAAGAGAAAGAAAAACAGAATATGGTTTTGGTTTTTCTTTTTAATACGAGGGGTAAACAGTTTCTCTTCTTTAGACTTAAAAATTGAAAACCCAACAAGGCAGGTTTCAAGATTTCAATAGAAATACAACAAAAAACAAAAATACACAAAATGGATATATATGTTTATAAATCTATATATTTACAAATTTATGCATATCTCTGGTTCTCTCTCTAATCTTCATGTTCTTAGTTTGTGTGTGTGTGTGTGTGTTTGATGAGAGTGAGAAAGAGAGAATACCTAATAAGCTCCGATTACAGAAGATGAAAACACAACAATTTTGTGGAGTAGATGGTATGTAAGGATGGCGTGAAAGATAAACTTGCTTCATTATTTTGCTCCCACCTCTTTGTTTGCCAAAATCAAATTTGCTTCACCAATTTCAAAATTTTTGGACTTCTAACTCTTTGTCTCTAACCCTAGCTGCTTCAGAGATTGCTCTGTGTAACTGTGTTCCCTTATTTTGTTTGTTTTATAATACTAGTTGGACCACCATGCGCTACGCGCGTGGGGGTCGTGTCATAGTTATAATGCGTATTTAAGAAATTTCTGTGTATACAAGATAAATTTATTTATTTATTTTTAAATTTTTTTCTTTTATCAAAAAAAATTATTAATAAGATGAGTACAAACTAGGGAGAGGAATACGATCAGTTCAAAACAAGAACCAAACTGCACATCTCCAACACAAAACAATCACATAACTATAAAACACTAAAATATGAAAACATTACGTACCATTACGTACTTGCTACCAAGATAGTTATATACCAACATATAAGACCAAAGGCAAACAAAATAAAAACACAACTCAATTGACCAATGAATCAAATAAATTAAACAACGAAATAAGATGAGCCTGCACTCATATCCTTGTTGATATCATCTCCTCCTTGCTTTGATCTTTCTAATACCTTCAATGCAATTATCAAAGTCAAAAATTAAATAACCATCCAAGTCTTAAAGTACTTTAATCCAATAAATAGTCATTATTTTAATTCTATAATAGAGCTATAATCACCTCCCATTTAGTTTCCTTCGTATTAAAGATTAAGTCATTTGTTGCCTTCCACAATGTCTATAGAATTGCAAAAAATCTCCCAAATGTTCCTTTCAACAATCAAGGCAACCAACTTTCCAACACCAGTGTGCCACCACCAGTCTTACCATTGCG